GATATGGGCCTTATGGGCCAAGAGGGGAAACGCACCAGCCACTTGTGGCTGGTGCGCGCCCCATATGGGCTGGCCTAAGGAGGAGAAGGAAAGGGGAGAAGGGAAATGTAAGTGTGGATTAGGATTCCCACTTCCTTCCCTCCCCCCTCTTGCCTTCCCCCTCCGACAAAAATGGCAGGGGGCGCGACCAAGGGCAGGAGCCCAAGTAGGATTCTGACCTACTTGGGGCGTCCCTTGGCCTCCCTTCTCTCCCTCCCACCTATATATATGAGGAGGGGGGCGCCTAGCACACCCCAGATCAATTGCTAGCCGTGTGTGGCACCCCTCCTCCATCGTTTACTCCTCCAGTTATATTTTTGTAGTGCTTAGGCGAAGCCCTGCGGAGATCACTGTCACCATGCTATCGTGCTGATTGAACTCATCTACTACCTCGCCGTCTTGCTGGATCAAAAAGGCGAGGGACGTTACCGAGCTGAACGTGTGCAGAACTCGAAGGTGTTGTACGTATGGTACTCGATCGGTGGATCACGAAGAAAGTTCGACTACATAAACCGCGTTGTGAAACGCTTCCGCTTACGGTCTACGAGGGTACATAGACACACTCTCCCCCTTGTGGTTATGCATCTCCATGGATAGGTCATTGCGTGTGCATAGAATTCGTTTTGTTTTCCGTGCAACGATTCCCAACAGTGTCACCATGGGATCATCGACCTCCTCGGCGTCCTCCCCCTCCTCCTTCATTTCGGGCTCATAATCCTCCTCGGCCTCGTCTTGTTGAGAAAACAATGAATCTTTGTAGTGTAGATCATCAAGGGTAAGCATGTATGACTCCTCCAAATGAGACAAGAATTCGTCCACATTCAACTCCCCGACACTACAACAACAATAACGAAAAAAAGCTCATCACCCTTGGCCGCAAGCAATCACCAATGCATCGGCCAAAAAGAAAAGTCACGTCCGGCATTTCATCGACCAATTGTCGGTCACGGACGTCGACGGTGCTTGCAACCGCTGGATGCTCCGCCCGCACCTGACGAGGGGGCGTAGGGGTTCTTCTTCCTCTTCTTCTTCTTCTTCTGCCCCATGGTATTTTTTGTGCCCATGGAGCTCCATGGGTACCTTTTTTTTGCAAATTTAGGAGTAGAAACTTATATTTCACATGATATATACAATTTGTGTCCAATGCTTATGCAGCTTTCGTTACCTATGATCGATTTTAATACTTTGCAGGAGGAGAGGCGGATGCACATGACACTGATGTTCTTGGACCATGAAGGCCATGGTGGAGAAGCGGCTCGAGGCCGAGGACCAGGAGATCAAACAGAGAACGAGCATGAACTGGGCACTTTGGGAGTGTCTCAGGACTTCGACGTCACTCTGGTCACTGCGTGAAGACCGCATCTGTGCGTGTATGATCCGTTGGTTCCTTAGCTTATTTGGTTTAGCTCGTTGGTTTCTGTTTAGAGATCTCGGAAATAATATATTTGCCTTCTCTAGCTGGGCTGCAAGGAAAGGGCAAATTAATATTCGTGTGCATTCTTTACGTGTGCCTCCAGAGTGTTTCTGGCATTTTTGGATTCGTGCTCAGAGTGAATAATATGTACGTGTATAAATTGAATGTAAACTATGTGTATGTACAGATGAATAATATGGAGTACATCACAATACAATACATGCTTTTTATAAATTCCTAAAATAACAAGCAGTGGCAGGCTGCTCACCAGTGGTGCTTGCTTTTAGTAGTGGCGGGCAGCAAGCTGCTAACTAATTATCAGTGGCGGGAGGTCAATGGCGGGTGCCCTGAGCCCAAAGCCCGCCACTAATGGTTTTTTTGTGCCTACCACTGCTAGCCAGTTCTGCAGTAGTGCGATCTCCTTCTTATCGGAGGAGCTGGCGGCCATGGAGCCTGATGGTCCTGGAGAGCGATAGCGGCGACGCTATGATCCATAGCCTCCCCCTCCGCGGAGAAGCACGACTTGGGCATTGTTTGAATGGAGAGAGGAGGAAGAGTTTGGAGATGACGAGAGGCAGTGAGTGCGGAGGTGTGGATGTGGACGTTGCCGTAGCACGTATTGTATAGGCGTGGCCAGGCCAGGCGAACGGATGGTCAACCCACTTCAATGCGGCACAGCTGATAGAGTCGGTTTCTCGGGACGACGCGTCCACATTGAAGTGGTGTTGCCCGTACGGTCGCATCGGTAAGCGTTGCCTTCCCGTCCAGTCATGTCATGGGACGTCAATGTCGGCCGTTGCAGTTCTGTGGAAGCGGCGTCTGTTGGAGAGAAGCATGGGAGATGGTTTCAGGTGGGTCCAGGG